TCAGTTCATGACTGTTTTATTAACAGGGAGAAGAAGGTATCTCCACAGTTTTTCATTTTAGTCTTTGTTGTTTTGAGTATCATGGCTGGAGGTTCATCTGTTATTTTTTTCAACGAATCAGCCATTTTCAGCAGAAGCTCACACACACCCACTGGCCCATCGCTGTGTTCTGTGGTGTTTTCACAGGGGGGTTGCAGGAGTAGGTAAGAAGGAAGTCAAAGAGTGAGTTTCAAAGGCTTTCTAAATGTTTGGTCCCTTTGCCCCGTGGGCTTTTTGCTATTTTCAGCATCCGACCCTCTCCGTGGAACTTCCTTGGATTTCACTGCCCACTTTTGAAGGCTCCTGTTACCATGGCTACCCCATGTAAAATACATGATGGTAGTGAGTACAACCTTAAGTGGGAGCACACATTTCAGTAGTCATGGTTACAACAACCTCTAAAGGATGAATTATGTAACTGGTGTTGTGTTTCAGACGAGATAGTGGCTTGCAGGCAAAAAAAGGGGCGACTCATATATAGCTACAGATATTTTTCCTTCTGTTGGGGGAAAATTCCAAAGTTGATCGCTGAAAGTTTTACTTTCTAATATTCAGAAATGTTGAGGTCATGTCCTAGTTTTTTCGCAGAATCCCAAACAACTGTAGTGGGAATAATTCAATTGTGTTTTAGAGAGAAATAACTGAACTCTTCGCTCGTCTTCTCCAGTATTCCTACAACATGTCTCATCATTTTCTTAAATCTGATTTCAGGATGTTGTCATGTCTGTTAGAGATGTTGCGCAGCACCAATGGCCCACTGCAGTGTGTGTGTGTGTGTGTGTGTGTGTGTGCGTGAGAGAGAAAGAGGGAGATCGCAAGTGAGTGTATATTTGACGGTGAGCAAATATGTATATTTGCACACATGGCTGAACTCACCTCACTACCACACCCAATTGGTCCATGTCCCAGAGGCCATTGCCGTGTTAACTGTCGTGATACGAGAACACTCTGTGCAGGAGCAGGTCTTTATTTTCCTCGAGTCACCAAACCTTAATCTGCAGTGACTGTGACAAGCAGACTACTCAACTCTACTCGTCTTTCACAAATGTTGTAGTGTAGAGTAGTGTTGTGCTGATGTATCTTTATTAAATGTGTCTGTTTTCCCCAAAACAACTTCAAATATAAGGAAACACTCCAGTGGTGCAAAGAGGGAGCGAATCATCTGGTGTTTTCATCATTTTAGACGACACTGAATTCTCTTTTTGAAATGGCATTCAACAAGAAAACTGATGCACTTTACACCTGCAAGGATGGTGAAAAGTGGAAAAATTGAATTTGAATTAAAATGAAGAAATTGTTTATCATAATCATCATTTTAGCATTACTTAAAAAATAATCTGGTTCAAAATTTTGATATTTTACTAAGATCTCCAGTCAGTTAAATGCCTGAGTTATAGTTCGTAAGATGTACACATGTTGTAAAGAGAGAATAGCTGTGAAATTAATGATGCCATATTTTCAGTTGATGAATTCAGTCATCAACCTGAACTGAGGTATTATATTACATTGACTTGCCTTCTATTAAGCTAATAAAAACCTGAGTGCAGGTTTCATTTCCTACTTTTTGACAGATGTCCTCCTCATCTGGCTAAATGCTGATTTGGATGCATATAATCTTGCTAATGCAATTTTTTCATCAGTTATTGCTTTTCATGTGTCGTCCAGCAACTGAACACTATCTGTGTGTCTTAGGTTTGATAGAAAGGAAAGATTTAAACTTTATTCCCCCGCTTGTTTCCCCTTTTACTTGTGCAACTGTACTTCATCAAATCTATGCAAATATGACAAAAAGCGCTCTGGTTGTCTCAGGGCTTCATTACAGGGAGGAGCAGCATGGCAGAGACAGAGCTGTGGATTTATTTACAGTCTGGGAAAAAAGCATGCATAATATATGCAGGCCATGCGTTAAATACAACAGTTTCATACGCACTGTATCAGGGTATTACATATGCTCTGCATGACTGAGATGATTTATAACCAAATATTCACAGTAGCATAATAGAATGAAACTCTGCTTTGTAAATAATGGAGAAAACAGATGGCTGTGTTTATGTATGGTTGATAGTTCAAGATTCGTGTGGTTTCTGTTTTGTGCTGGGTGTTGATTTAGTTGAGTTCAATGAGCTGTCATTAAGCCAACTCCTCCCAAGTAAGCTTTTATTAGGCATACATTATCTACTCTATAGGCAGAGAGCGGAAGTCCTCTGAAGAGACATCTGTGTAACTGTGGCTTCACTGAACTGAAGATGGGAGTAGGTGAAACGGGATACATCTTTTTAAAAAGGGAACATTTGAAATATTTAAAACTAAAAGTCAACAATTTGCATTTTGATGCTCTGATAGTGCTACTGAGAGTATCATGATCTGATTTACCTTGGCTCATTTTCAAACTGATCCATTCTGTCCCCACACATTAAAATATAAGGTACGTTTTAAAACATAAAGATGATGAAACCCGGGGGGATATGAGCATTTTTTAAGCATGTGCTCATTCATTTCACTTATGTCATAATAACTCAATTAAAAGTACAGGTGGGGCGACCTGGTAGCACCAGGTGTGCAACTACAGATGCTTGCGTTCTCCTGCTGCACCCACATGTACATTTCCAGCCTGATCCTTTGCTGCGTGTGTTCCCCATTCTGTCTTCACATTTCACGCTTTCACTGTCCTGTCAAAAAAGATCTCTAATATATCAAAAAAATAAAATACAGGCTGGATCTGGACCAGTTCTAAACTAAGTCAAATCCCAGTAAGGACACATGTAAGACTTTACTTTCTATCCTGATAATTCTGAAGAATAATAAATAATAATTGAAGAGAAAACACAGCTCAGGGGACAGTTGCATCATCGCCACAGACAACGAGACAGCCAGGTGTAATGTGTGTGTGACTGCCGGTGTTATTTAATTATTTTAGGGTAACACATTGTCTCCTGATGTGTTATGCGTTATTAGAAGCTGTAATTGAACCTTCTTTTAACCTCCCCTGCAAACATCCTTCATCCATCACCTGCTGCAGAATTGACGCCGTCTTGTTCCAGACGTCCTTATCAGCAGGTACCTGAAGAGTAAGCTGTATTTGGCAAGCGTCTGAAACAGAAACCATTGCATTTCAAATTCAGTCTGCGCTGCATTGTTAGCGCTCTGACCTGCAGATCACGGGAAATAAATGTAGAGTGACGAATCGATTCTTTTCTCCTCCGCACCGTATCCTTTTCTCCTCCTCTCTGTATTTTTCTTGTTCGCTCTCGCTCCACTTTTGCTTGTCTCTTTGCTCTACAACCCCTGTCCATCTCTCAGCCCTCCTTCTCCAGCCGTCCTCTATTCTGCCTGCCCATGTAATGTGTCAGGTTGCTTCCTCTCTCTGCTCTAGAGCATCTGACTCTTTAACCCAAACCAAATCTGGTGTGTTTTATTTCCAGGCCTTTATTCTGTCTCCCTCCTATCCTGGATTTCTCTGTGTGTTTCCCTATACTTATACCTTTGTGAGGACCATTTAAAGCAAGGACCCTACCTTTTTGGAAAGTGAGGACATATTGACCGGTCCTCACTTTTTCAATGGGCTGTTTTAAGGTTAAGACTTGGTTGTAGGGTTAGGTTAGGGTTAAGGTTAGGTCTGGATGGTATAAGGGTAAGTGGATAGGAAATAAATTATGTCAATCAGTGTCCTCACTAAGATAGAAGTAAAGAAGTGTGTGTGTCTGTGTGTGTGTGTGTACTCTGCCAATGTCTCAGTCTCACATTAATTTGAGTCAGTAACCTCACTTTGTTCATTCTATTTAATCCTCCATGTCTTAACAAAGACAAATACTCTCCTACTCTCATCCTCTGCACACAGATACGTTTTCAACTGTATCTCTCCTACTCGTATAATCTTTCCCACAATGCCATCTTCTAATCTCACTTCTGTTTTCCCCTTTGTGTTTTACAGCTCACCTGTTCGCTCGCTCGCACTGTTTCTGTCTGTCTGACTCCCGCACGCTCTGTCTGAGTGTTTATTTCTGCCTGGGTTGTCTCTCTCACAGCGATAAGTGCTCATTAGTCTTATTTGTCAATACGCCGAGACAGAGACTGGTATTAGATCTTTGTATTTTCCTTGTCAACCGAACTATTGCATAATATGGCCCGGGAGCAGTTTTTTCTAATTTTAGTATTTCCTTGTTCTCTATCTTTCTTGTTTAAGGATTTTCCAGACATATTATTGTTTATTTCTAAAGATCTTGTAATGGAGATTTGATTTTGTTTGATGGTGTATTTTGTCCATGTCTGCGGCTTATTGGGTACTATTGTTATGTATTATTTTGTTTCTAAATTACTATTCATACATGTAATTTCTCCAATACTGTTGCACTCCACCTCTGTGAGTTATTCCAACTCCTGTGTTGCTTTAGAGACAAATACTCTGTGACCAAAATATTTTAACAATGTCTAGCTACTTGATTCTAAATGCATTAAAGCAATGGTTTAGCATTTCTGCAAATTCACTTATATACTTTCTTAGCAAGAGTCAGTTGAAAAGATGGATACAGCTCCTGTGTTTATACTGTAAATATGAAGCTGTTACCAGCACTCTGTTGTTGTAGCTTAGGACAAAGGCTGGAAACAAACAAGAGCCATGCTGTTTCCCCGTCTCCAGTTTTCATGCTAGACTAACTGGCTAGTGACTCCTGCCAGCCTGCGTCTAATTATTAGTTCCTGCTTCATATTTATATTATTAGATGTTTAATTGGCTTCAATCTTCACATCTAACTCTGACAGGAAAGTGAAAAGTGTGCTGTATTTTATTCTTTTGTGTGGAATACACAAGTGAAAAGATACATTTGAATTAATTTCTCCATTATTGGACAATAAAGTTTTGAATCTTGATCTGAAGATTTCCTTCAATTGTAAATGTTTGGCCAAACGTAGAGTGTGTGGACACATGCTTATTAATATGTGTGTGTCTCTCTCCATTTCCACAGGACTCCAGGTAACAAATCAGGCAGTAGCCCCAGAGGTCAAACCCCAGATGAGAGTGGACGCCGCCACGATGCCAACTCCTCTGTTTCTGACTTGGCCAACTCAGTCACCAGTGACATGCTCATGGTAACGCGCAATATTGACACAGCCCCATGAGACACCTTTTATTGATACTTCATTACCTCGTCTGCTGTGTGTCTTATTTCTGCTTTGCTGAGCCCGTCTATATTAAGAGGGAGGACTGAGCACTGAGCGGATCTTCTTCTTCCATTTACCTCAGTATACCACCTGCCTGTTTGACCACAATGGGATCTAGAGCCTTCAGCCGCTCTGCCCCCCGCCCCTGGAACTCCCTCCCACCAGACATTCGCAACAATTGTCGCAATTATTATTATTATTATTAAGAGGAGGAAGGCTGCTGTCAGCAATAAATGAGATGGCTGAGAGACTTGAATGGTGCCCTCACATCATCTCTCCTAATCTAAAATGAATGTTACATGCAGACCTTGAGACAAGGAAGTGGAAGATGAGCCAATGAGGGAGAAGTAATGTAAAATCCTTAAAACTGGACTTCAGCTCATTAGTAATTAAACACTGTAAACACTGGTTATAACGGCTTGATATAAATTTAGCAGGACATGTTGTGTAATGTTCATTATATCTGTGTTGCTTTGTTTTTACCTTCTTGTGTCTAATCCTGTTGTTTTATGTAGAGTCATTATTGAGCTGGTCAGTTGATTCTTAATCTTGGAAAGTTGACAGAACAAATTGCAGATTCATTCACAACTGTTTGACTAGTAACATCCAATCATATTAATGCATAAATACAGGGCAGCCATGATAACCTGACTCCTTTTACTTTTTGCCACACTTACAAGGTACATGAAATATCCTGATACTGCTGATAAGTTTATACAACCACAGTTCGCTCAGACACACATCATGGAAATTATATAAAATTAAGATTGTAAAACACATTTGGCCGAGAATGCCATTGTTATTTGCACTTCAGTGCCACCGTAATGTTAATGGCATAAAGGTTCATGCTGACAATTCATTGAAACGTGGCAGGTGACTCAAGATTGATCTTATAAATTCACAGTTCCGCTTTTCAGATTTAGCGGTTTTGGATCTCAGTTGTTTGATTGCAAAGAAAATTGACATACTGAAGTGATGAGTGCCAGTATTGATTTATACAGTAGGTAGCAAATACTGACATCTATTACAGTATTTGTAATTAATTAATATGTCAGTGTTTCAGTTTCTGGAAACATGGTAACATTGCTAAAAAAAAAGAGAGAAACAAATGTGAAACACGAGCAGTCAGACAATAATGTGGGTTCTAAGCCAAACACCAACTCAGCCAAACTTATTTGGAATATATAGAATAGATGTGAAACTGTCTGCTGTAGAAATCTATCACTATTTAGAGACCAAACTCCTTATTTAATTTTGAAGTGTTTCCTTGCTTGATCACATTATTTACCATGGTGCAAAAAAGTGTAAAGTTTTAATTTCATCACACACAGAAATTAATGTCAAAGTGACAAAAATAAAATCAAAGTTACAACAATCCAGACTTTTCTTTTGAAAGGATTCTGTATGAAGAATTATAGTATAGAATTATAATTGGTTCTAGAGAACATGGTGAGAAAAGACAGCCTACGCACTTCAGTTCAATAGCTTGAAATCCAATGAGAAGCATTTCCTCCTCCCAAGTCTTTCGTCACTCAAAAAGAACTTTCTTCATCCCACTCGACCACCTGTAGATCCTCAGAGAGCGTTATGCCAAACAGTATCTCAGCGAACAGAAACGTACAGTAATCATCACCCTGAAGTGACAGTCTGGGAGGGGAGGGGGACAGGGGCCTTATGCAGCGAGGTTCGGTAATTAGCTGTGAAAGAACATGCAGTGCTGTGGGTGCTGTGAGAATATGGCAGAGATGGGTATGAGCAATGTATAATTATGTGGGTCTCATGGTGTGTCTGAGGAATTCACATTGGTGGTGCTTAATGATAATACTCATTCGGGCAGTTTTGCCAAAGGCATCTATATGTTACACAACCCTCGTTTTCATGCTGAAAATACCCATCCAGCACTTTTGAGCCACATCCACTCAAGTAGGAAAAGCAATGGTGCTGTGTACAGATGTTGTGTTGAGAAAAAGGATGTCAGAGTATACAGTATATATACATCCAACCCCCTTCAGCGTCTCAGGTGATAAAGGGCTGGCAGTGGATAGGGTGGGGGTCCTGTCACTCTGGAAAATGATTGGAAAATTGGGTCTGGGGTCTTGGTCTTTGACATATGGAGAATGCAGCAGGGGATTTTCCGGGTCAGATGTATTCACAACAAAACAAATCGAATTTTGTTGTCCTTCCAAGTTGACATCTTCGTCAGCATCTTCAACAAAATTTCAGGAAATGTCTGAGGTACAGAGCAGATGTTTCTGTGAACATTTCTCTGAATAAACTACAGTCCACTTCACATTGCTTGTTATGAAGGAACATGTCAGCCCGCGCAACTTGAGGTTCATTTGTGAGTTCTCAATAGTTTCTGGACAACAATGAAGGTCGAGGAATATGCTGTATTAAGCTTTAGATGAAAAAATCTATTTGTTGGTGGATTGGGTCTTTTGGTCTTGTATTTGTTGATAATAAAAGAATATAGAAATTAGCATCCTTATCCTGATGATATTTGTGACTTTAAACAAATGCAGCACATAACTACACCCCAACACAACAAGTATAAAGAGTATCTCTAGATTTGTTCTTAAAATGTGATGCAGACTTGTTATGCGCTCCATCAGAATTTGCATTGACTGCATGTGGATTGTTTGGTTTTCAGTGAAAAAAGAAATTAGAGAGGAGAATTTAAGAAGTTAATGGAAAGAGAGGAGAAAAAGAGAGAGTGCCCAAATGCAGAAAATGGAGAAAAGCAATTTAGGCCAGCTGTTGGGTGGAGGACTGCATAATGAAAAGTGATCATATTCAGCATGGAGAATGAGGTTGAGCAGCACCATCAGAAATATGTGGGATAATATGGAATTGGATATTAAATTTCTGGAACTGCTCTTTGAGTGATGCCTCCAGCTCTTCCTCCATCAGATAGCACTTTTTAAAACTAGATTGGTGTCCCTCCCTCCCTCCGGGCCACGGCACCATCAGTCAGAGGGTCTGACCAACAGATTATCTGCTTCTCATCTCCACACTGCTTCAGACACTTTGTGCCCTGGTCGCACATCGTACAGCAGCCACGTGACATAACACTGTCCTAGTTGGCCAGTCAGGAGCTGTATTTTTAAGTTAAGGTGTAGAATTAGTGCCCCCTGTGGACTGGAGTCTAAGTTACTTAGTGACTGTGATATATGATATTACCTGCCAACTCACCTGAAAGGTTGGATAAGTTTCACCCTGTTGTCTTGTAAGAAATTAGTGCAATTGTTATAGGACTGCATTTTGTATATCCTTATAATTTGCACCCCATTTAGTGGCTTCACCTGGTTAAAACCATTGAAGGTATATATGTATATATTTGGACAACATGACAGCTCCCCAGAAGTGAAGCCAAATGTCTCAATCACCGCCTGGTGGCAGGTCGCAGTATAGCTCATATACTCCACCTCCTGTATGTTAGTCGATCCAAACCTAAGAGTTTGGTTTCCCTCAGTTATTTGATGCTATGAAAACAGGGTAAAACGTCATGATTGAAAGCTGAGATTGGTCGAGCTTGTGAATTGGTGGGACCTTGCTACCGTGGCTTTATCCCCTGGTCAATATCACGCAAGATGACAGCGTTCATGTCAGGGATATTTTGGCTTACGGCTTTCCGGATAGTGGGAGGAAGCAGAGACATGTTGTCCATCTTTCTGTACAGTCTATAGTTAAAACTAATACATCAGAGCTGCAATATATCCATATCTACATGACAGTTCAAACATTCAGTTTTAGTTTCAGAGGCGTTGATTCAACTTCATGGCAGAATCTCAGAATTCACTTGTTTCTTTGATTGTGGAGCTTTCAACCACATCACACTGTCCATATCCACAGTATGAGTGTGCTCAGTTCCTATGGAGCTGTAGCTGTTCAAACCTTTTATGACTCTGAGGACTTTCATTGCTGCTCATTCAATCATTCACCGCTCTCTGTTGTAGAATAATAGACTCTTACTAATTTACTCTGCGCTGAGCAGTAAATTGAGATTTCAGACACTTATGAATCATCATCAGTTTGAGTCTTCATCGGCAGATGTATTTTCACATAAGAGGGATTTATCACATCTATAACATGAAACCTATTGCAAAGGATTGTATTTTTTTACACACTCTGAACTTTTATTCTCAAATGAAATGACAGATTATAAATACAGTATACATGAGTAAAGAGGGAGTCATTTTAAACATAGCATTGGACCGGACACACTGACCCTTATCAAACCCAGCTTTTACAAAAACAAAAAACTAATATATACCCATAAGCCATGTATATGCTTCCATTACAATCTATCAACAACTAAACCACTGACAATAAATCAAAAGAAAGTAACATTTGTTTCCTGTGCCTCTAAGTTGTCTCCAGGTTCCGAGGAAGATGACCACGAGGGTCCAGTGTGTGAAAAGCTGGGACGTATTCAGTTCAGCGTTGGTTACAGTTTTCAGGACTCCACCCTCACCGTCAAAATCCTGAAGGGCCAGGATTTGCCTGCCAAGGATTTTTCCGGCACCTCTGACCCATTTGTCAAACTCTACCTGCTGCCGGACAAGAAGCACAAACTGGAGACCAAAGTGAAGAGGAAGAATCTAAACCCCCACTGGAATGAGACCTTCCTGTTTGAAGGTTTGATGGAGGAAGCTTTCATAAAACCTTAAACATTAACTTAAGAGTGTTCACAGAACATCTGAAGCTTTTTCTTCTCCATGTGCCTCACTGTGACCTTTTGGGACTGTGCTGTGTCCGTTTCTCTCTCAGGGTTCCCCTACGATAAGGTGGTCCAGAGGACCCTATACCTGCAGGTTCTTGACTACGACCGCTTCAGCAGGAATGACCCCATAGGAGAGGTGTCCATCCCCCTCAACAAGCTGGACCTGGCCAACATGCAGACATTCTGGAAGGAGCTGAAACCATGTAGTGATGGCAGCGTGAGTGAGAAAGAAGGGGGTGGGAGGGAAGGGAGTAAGGAGGTAGAGGAACGGGGGGGAGGGGGAGAGCGAGAGACGATGGGACAGAATGTAACGGGTGATGTCATTCCTGGCTGCTGTGATGCTCCTAGGGGTGCTTGTGGGAAACGGGATGGAAGGGAATATGGAGGAGGCTGACAGGTAGACGGAGAGAACACAGAAAGCAGGAGATAGACACAAAAAATAAACAGTAAGCAGCTGAACGGAGAACAATGGGGGAAAAAAGGGGATAAAAAAAGTAAACAATCGGCTGCTGTTGTGTGTATGATTTCACTAGGGGAGTCGAGGGGATCTGCTGGTGTCTCTGTGCTACAACCCCACAGCCAACATCATCACTGTGAGCATCATCAAAGCCCGCAACCTCAAAGCCATGGACATCGGAGGCACTTCTGGTAAAGATGCTCCTTCATCTCCTGTGTCCTTTTAACGTTGACCTTCTACATTACAGCAACTTCAACATAAAAATGACAACATGATTTACTGTTAGAAAATAACATTAAGCCCACGACAGCACCCAACAGCACCTAACAATGCATTAAATTATAGTAAACATGAATGTGCTTCTGCCTCTCCACAGACCCATATGTAAAAGTGTGGTTGATGAACAAGGACAAGCGCGTGGAAAAGAAGAAGACAGTGGTAATGAAGCGCTGTCTGAACCCCGTGTTCAACGAGTCCTTCCCCTTTGATGTGCCTGCCCACGTGCTGAGGGAGACCACCATAATTATAACCGTCATGGACAAGGACAGGCTCAGTCGCAATGATGTCATTGGAAAGGTATGTCCTTCCCACTTCTTCCTTCTTCTTCTTCTTCATTATCCTCGTCTTCCTTTTCCTCTACATTATCCTGACTCTGTGATAGACCATCACCAGCTGATCGCTTTTGATCGCCAGTCTCTACTGACCCCTGCTGGTACATGCAGACCAATCTTCTGAACTGTAAATGAATAAATCTAGAATACAACAAATGACAAGATTTGAAAATGCTTCATTCTGCGTGTGAACCAGAGATTAACACCAATGACCAAAATGAAATCCAGGCACACGCAGGTACTTGCTCTCAAATGTTATCCCCTAAATTGTACAATATCATTAAATATAGAAGATGTTTCCAAATTCTCTCTGAACAATAACAGAAATTGTATTTTTATTACAGTGCACATTAGTGTAGTATTGTCAGCTTTTTGGCTGAACTTTTCAGTTATGATGAATCTGCTGGTCTCTTTAGAAAAACACATTGTTTGCCCTGAGAAAAATCCTCAAGGATCAATTGCAAACAGCAAGGCTGAGAGAGGCAAAAAGCCTTTGAATTTTTGGGTTGCCTATGTCAGTATCAGCTTTTATTTTTTATGCTTAGTTAGTTTAAAGCTCTATTTTTTCTGTAATTTATTAATTCTGAAAATTTTTACTTTTATCTTGAAATGTTTCCTGATATAAAACCATTAATATTTCACTTCATGTTCATCTGTGTATTGCCTGTAGAAAAAGTCGCATTGATGAATATTCAGTTGAGCTCCAGTTCACTAACTAATAGTCTAGACTACATTAGCTTGAAGAGGCTATAAGTATGATTTTACTATTAGCCTCGCTACTACGCAGCCAACGTGAGCATTAACTGCCTTGTATTCGAGCAGAAACGTTACAGGTTCAACATCAACTTTCATTCCTTTACTCACCTTTACACCGATGTTAATAATGCTACTTCTATTTCAGTCACTTCTTTGTTTCTACTAAAGTTAGCATGCTGACCAGCGAGCCCTGTCCTGACTAGCCGTCTCATCACTTCCTGTTCGTTTGTCTGAAGAAGTGATGCTGCTCAGGGGACATATATCTTCTGTCCTGTAAATACAACAATTGATGAAGCTCTTGGCGAGGGACTGCTTCCAACAAGAAACCTGTTTGGTGGCAGAAAAAACATATAACATAATAACATTTTGTAATGGTTAATCAGAATGAATTTGAAGTGCACAAACTAAACAATGACTGCATTTATATGGACAGCAAAATTCTGTCTATTGACCATATTCTGAATAAAACATTATTTTGATTGCGATGTTTACATGAGTTGCTAATAGAATATTCCATTCATATGTTACAGTTTAAAATGCTATGAAATCTCCAATAAGACGTTAAAATGCGATTAAGACGTGTACATGTCCACATGATGCAACTAAGATCAGAATTCTCCACGTCTTAATTTGATAATTGTTTATTCCAAGTATGCTCTTAGGTTAATCATCTTAAGTTACATGACAGTGTTTTATTCAGACTATTGTCTTAACATTGGAATACTGTTGTCCATGTAAACATATCGCTGTCTCTGCTTCAGCTGTAATTATTGCCAAACTACTTTCTTCTTTTCAGGAAACCGTCCAGGAAATCATTAGAAATGTACAGACTCGTAAAATTAAGCTACATTAATGTTAATCCCATTACTTATTCCTATATCAGTACTCAACTCAGCTCTAAACAAGCCCAGGCCCTTGTGTGTGCTGATTGATTTGTTTACTTATGACCAAATACCAGTTGCTCTGCAAGTATTGATACATAGTGGAGAACAGAGCCTGACACGATTTATAGTTTCTGTTTGGAAAGACCCCAAAGCTCAAATCAAGTAATTCATCACACACTGTAAGAATAATGTCTGAGCTGTGTACAACTACACCGTCTTTTACAAAGTAACTGCAGCTGATATACTTTTTGCCGTCCTAATCATGTACAGTTACAATATGTTGCCCGTTATACCACATCATTGGAAACTAGTCATCGGATATTCAAAAGTTTTCTATGACATGTGCTGACCTGGATTCTCTTTCTACATGAGAATTACTTAAAGACTCTGTGTCTGATCTTCATTAGTGTCAGCATTATCGTCTCTCAGAGTATTTCAGCAAGTGAAATCTGTTCCTCTAATGGCTTTTTTTCCCGTCCTGGTTTTAAATTGAATACTGAGTGTGGTTGCAGGCTTAGCGGTGAAAGCAGGGCTAGACTTAAGTCTCACTGAGCTTTTTTTTTAACCACGTAATACCCGACAGTTTATTGGCTGGGCTTTTTACAAATAACATCAGTCTCTGTGTGACACTACACAAGTTACACTGACTTGTGTCTTTTTTTCACAGATCTACCTTTCGTGGAAAAGTGGCCCTGCAGAGGTAAAGCACTGGAAAGACATGATGGGTCACCCTCGCACCACTGTGGCTCAGTGGCACGCTCTCAAGGCCTGAGGGACCAAGGGACCAAACCTGCCTACAGTGTCCCTCCCCCCAGGCCCTCAGCACATATCCCCCTACTCTCTGACTGCCGTCTCCGGCTGCAGAAACTGTGTGTCATCTCTTTGTTCTCAGGCCTCTTTGATATGTCCCCTCGTGACTTCATCCTTAAACTTCACCCTTGTCAAACTCTGATTCCCACCTCACCCCCTTTTATCCATTTGTCTGAACTTAAAAATGTCTGTCATGTCTTGACGCACTTCCTCCTTGTGCCCTTCTTTTTAAGAGTCTTTCCTCCACTTTGTCAAACATTCTCAGTGTTCTACATTCGAGCAGTAGCCTACCTCTTGCCACCCATGACCAAAAATGGATCTAACTGATGCTCCAGCTATCCTCTGTGGCGGCAAGGCGGGCTGCGTTCAAACATGTACCTGAGTGTGGATGCAATCCATTAACCACCTACATCGGGTGTTGCAGTGAGGAATCAACGACTCTGCTCCTCACCTCTTTGTTCAAGTCCTCTTCAGTTGCAGTCACTTTTTATTCCATACCCTGAAAAATTAGGAAAACCAACAAAGGTAATGGAAGAGTGATGCCCTGTATGTAAAGATGGAACTGGACCCTGTCACTCAACCCATGTTTGATCTTTTTCACTTTCCACTCTTTCTCTGGCACCTCTGTAATAATTCTCCCTTGGCTGGAACCCTTCGTCGTCTGTGCGTGCTGTGGGTGATGTGCTGTAACCCCAAATGAAGTTCTCCAAATAAAAAAAAGGATAAGAACATGATCATTCAACACTGGTCCTGGAGGATGAGTGTAAAAAAAAAAAAAAAACATTCTTTCCTATTTTCTTGGAAAAGAAAACCAGAAGGACAGAAAAAAGAGAAAAGTGATTAATGTTGTGATTTATTTTTTGGTTTTTCAAAAGAGAACGTAGAAAATCAACTTGTTCTTCCAGACTGAAAATAAGCAAAAAGCCAGCTTCCGTAAGTGTGTGTGTTAGAGTGTGTGTGTGCGTGCGTATGTATGTGTGTGTGTGCGAGGTTGGACTTGCACAGCTAAATTATAGATATTCTTAAAAATAGTATTGCCCTTGATAATGATGGGGATAATAACATATTATTAGAATTTGTGGTGTTGATTTTAGCTGAAGACATGGGGAGGTCACAAGTTGAAAGAGTCTGTCCACCAAATATAAAGTAGCCCAAAACAAGACAGACATCGTTATGTACATCGTTATGTCGAGTGTTTGATCCCCTGAAATCACTGCTGTCTAGACTAGGACTAGAATAGTAAAAACAGCACTTGAAATCCAATTCCATCCAACCTGAATAACCAGGGGTTTTTTCTAAAATATAAAAATTGAATTTCAGTATATCTCATATTGAAAATAATGTTTTTTATTATTATTTGAGCACATACCACAAAAGGAAAAAGTGTAGCTTAAGTTTGATTTTTTTTTACCTCAATTTTCAAGGGTAAGAGTGAACACTCAGTTTAGTTCATATTTTTCATATGAATGGAAGTGGTAAGTGACTGCTCAGGGTTGACATACTGAAAAATCAAATGTAGAAATGAAAAAAAAATACTTTCCCTGTCACCTACTCTGCAAAGTGTCTGTCAGAAGCATTAATCTGAGTATTTAACATTGAAAAGACGCTTCAGTTTACTCGTTGTTACAGAGCACTATGAGTCCATTGAAGATAACGGACCTGATTCTTTATTGTTAGAGTTCTGAGTTGATCCAGGTCTTTATTCCAGTTGTTTGCTTCACTGCCTGCATGTGACCTCCCCCTCCCCGAGTCCCATTTAGGAGCGTGCTAAGAGGATGAATGAAAACAAAATGAACGAAATAATAACTGGGAGAAAAATCTTTCTACATTCCACTGATTGTTTGTTTTTGGTCTACTGGCTGTGTGCATGTGTGTGTTTGGGTGAGTGTCAATATTTGAACTTTTTATTTTTTTTGTGTGATTGGATTTATTGTGAGTCCCTCTGTGTGTTTATCTGCACTGAGTTCTATTTTGTCAGTTTAATACAGAACAACATTGTTTACCGTTTTTATTCAGTATGAAACAATCCAGATGTACAAAGATATAAGTTGTTTTTTTTTTAAGTTGTCAATTCTTTAAGAATCACTACACTTGTCGATGACGATGCTGGAACAAACCTCTCTTCATAGCAGGGTCACTGCTCATGTGTGGTTTTTAAAATGACGTTTGGTTTGAGGGAAATTTGTTATACATGCACTTAAACCAGCTTTGCAACAACCCCGGATAAAAGCCTGTTTTCTTTGACTACCATACACCAGATTTTTTACAGAAGCAGTTACTGACATTTTGTGCGATCTGTGCTTTCTATCTGATCATCAAGGCCAAAATAAACGAAGGGTGGGTCCCTCACATCGCAGCTGACGCCCCCCCCCCCCCCTTACACCCCTGTTGTGCACACATGCTTTCTGGCACAAAGTGTTCTGTGTGTGCCTTATAAACCCTGCCACGCCTTGCTCCTCACCATATGTGCCCCCTTTCCGAGTGTCAGGGAGGGGGGAGAGAAAAAAAAAGGTGACAGGAGATAATCATCACCTCTTTGCATCACTGTTAGCTACATCTCAGGTCAGAGCCAAGCATTGGAGCATCCCAAAATAACCAGGAACACGGTCTTCTGTCTGTGCTGACGGCCCTGTGTGTTAAACAAGGCATTACTGAGAGTGCTGCTGACAAAGCATTACATTCCAAAGGCTTAATGAAAGTCACCTCAAGCAATGCAACTTAAATATTGCTTAAATATCAGTCAGGGTTTGGTATGTTTCAGTTTTAAGGAATGCAAATAGAATCATATTTCTACACTCATCACTGGCCAAACACTGGTAAATTTTAGTGGACAAGCTTGTATTTCTGATTTTGGGCGTTCTGCTTGAGACAAAGAGAGGTTAACCAGCAACATTTTAATTTATATACTGTACAAATGATGTGAAGTGTCCTGTATGAAAAAAAGAGAAACAAGTATCAGTATTTACTGGGGATGTTGATATCTGTCTGTCCTTGGTATGACTCAGTCCCTTCTTTCACTCCCTTTTCTCTTTGTAGTCACACATCTGTGGAGTGCACAATGTTAAATATCGACCATTTATTTTTTTGAGCTCTGTACAGTGTATATAATATAAATGTGTATATAAAACAAAAATGCTCCTGGTCTGGTATTGATATGAATTTTTTATAAGCTTGTTTTACATTCTGTCTTCAGGCCAGAAAGATTCATTCGAGAGTTGCTCCACAGTGGAGTCTTCAGATCCTTGGCTTTATTGTGCTATTTCACATAAAAATAAGCTCACGTTAAAATAAAGTTCAACAACTTTATTCAATAATTTAATCATGTTCACTTCTGGCTGCCCAGGATTCAGTAAATTAACTAAATATTTAACTCATTTAAATGATATTATATGTTGCTAAGTGGCCTATTTGCTAGTTATATTCATTTTTTAAAGAAGGTCTCTGCAATTCTTCTCATGTAGGGGATGTCGCACTATACCGCCCTCTACTGGCCAATAATGACTGCACTTCAGTAGGAAATAGGACTAAAAGTATTTAATGAATCTTTAGAAATTATATTGATAACTAGAGTTAAGGAAATTGGCTGCTCTGCCTCCAGACATTATGTTTTACATATTCAACACAAGATCATTTCTGAGCGTGATGTTGAGAGAGGGTCGATGTTTGATCTGTCAACTTATCTAACACTTCATAAATTCAAACATGACAACCTTCCTTTTCTCTCCCAACCAGCAGGAGCAGGTCTCCTAACACTTCTTCTCACGACTCATCTCCAGCACACATGGGAAGACATGATGAAAGCTGGGGATGCTGTTGGTGGAGGTGGAGAGAGAGACGATACCAGTGAACATGAGATTGAAATTCGAGGGGAGCTGAAGGTGACGGCAGAGCTGTGGATAAAACAGAGAACTGTCACGACACAGCGAGCAGCAGTGGAGGATGACAGGAGCACCGGGCTCCAGATAGGCACAGTGGGTGTGCGGGGGCAGCTGATGAATATACAATCTAAACAACCCTCAGAGCAATAAATATGTGAATTGTGCATCCCCTTCCGTGGGATCCATAGGTGACTCTTTTTCTTTCTCTCTTAAAGGCAGGAAATTGTGACAACCAGCATTGGTTCACATACTGTCAAATAAAGAGTAAGTTATAGTGCAGAGCATTTACACACTTTTGGGTTACACAATCTGATCCTTTTCAGACCTTTCAAAGTCACAGTTTATTCTTATTATGTATTATGATTAGAAAATAGGACATATATAAATCCTTTACTTATAACAATAAAACAATGTGAAAATCCATCAAAAATAAATGACTTTGAATTCCTTCTAAAATGAATGAACAGAAATTTGAGCAGAAAAATATACTGATGTAATATTTAAAAAATACTTATTCTGCAAACAAAATGCCCATTGTGACTTATTATGCACATTTTATTATGTTGCATTAATGTATGAGCAGCATTTTATTGTTTTTGATGGATGTTGTAGCTCGTTTTAACTACTTTTATACAAGATATGTTCAATCAACATTTAATCATCAAAAATATGATGTAAAAATTCAAGAAAAAAATAGAGCTAATCAAGCAAAGTACTAATACCTTAATAGTGACTGCACCTATTGTACATGCCACCGGTGATTAATGTGTTTGGTGAGACAGATGGCAGAGGAGCAGAGAACACACAGAGGGGAACCCTTCTGACATCACCTCGCTCTATTTTAGGATGAGATGAAATAACAAAAATTGAAGATGGGGATTCTTACTCAACATATGTTCCCCAAAGGATTTAGAATGAACACACATGACCATTTGTGTCATATGTGTAGCACTGCAGTGTTTGTGTAACACCTTGGTCGTATATCATGCACATTATAATTCAACGGGTGTACACAAGCAGGCTTGTCGTCTGTTTTGAGATTCTGTGCACATCTCCTGGCCAGAGGGCATTTCCCTTATGCTCTCAGTACAAGGTTCCAGTGAACCGACATGACACACAACGAGGCAAGAAATCTTCCTCATTGTCAACATGAACGCACACACCAATCCAGTGGAGGAGAGAAATTCGACCTTGTGTCAATGGCTGTGAGCAAAAACATATACAGTTTAATTTACAAATCTGCTCCACAAAAGTTTTAATCGATGCTTTATTTTATCAAAGCTAAAATAAAAACACACACCCTTTCCAAGGTTAATATCCCTTTCATTCAATCTTTACTTTTTTGTCATCATTGCATTAAGATTCTCAGCAGATGACCATTCAAATAAATATGTCAGCTGACATGTTCACACTGTAACCTGCATGAAAGATTTAGCACATGTGATATATGTGAAGGTTACAGGTGACCTATTTGCCACAGACACACAGATGAGCATGTGCTTCAGTTTGACTGGAAATAAAGTGATCTGCTTCCATCTGGTGTCCAATAACAGACACAGCAGGCAACGAAACCATCATTATGTAACACGTGCATGGTGTTTAACATGGCATCCTCCTGTCATGTGACCCGACCTTGTGGTAAAACAGAGAAAACAACACACACAGAAAACAGTAGAGGATCAACATTTATTTAACAACCCATAATGTGTGTAATAGGCACAGTGAGATCATTGTACAGCTTGTGTTCATTGCTGAAAGCTGGCTTTCCCATGATGCATCCCATTGAGCAGTTTTTAATTTACAGTCGTAAAACATACAGTTATAATACAATTAATGCAAAATATTCATGACACTTTCCTAACATGGTCCTCCCACACGCAAACTTCCCTTGAATCTAACTCTCCCTCTAATCACAGGACAGTAAAGTGTTAAGTGAATATTTTGCACTCCTCAGAAACACAGCTGACTTCCCAAGGAGTTTTCTGGAGGAATACAACACTGACGTCCACTCAGTGCTCCACCATGAATCAGTCTCTGAGGAGGTCCGTGGTGCCTCGTACCTCATTGACTTTCCTTTTCCAGATACTCCAAGCTGGGAGCATCTAACCTCTGCTCGTGGTTGCGGTTCTTTGTGAACTCCTTCAACATATCCATGATCTCTCCTTGGTAAACTTCAGGAGTGGGCTGAGCATCTGTAAGCAGACAGAAATTATGTTGCATCATTCTCTGTTTCAAACCGATCTTCTTCAAAAACTAGCAAAGCAAAGTGAAACTTAAGATTCTTTATTTTATGCAGGAACATTTTTATGAGACACAGGGGACACCACATCAGGAGGCTGATTCAGACATGATTTTTTTAAATCACAATAATGCACATGAACGTTTGTATTTGTTTCATTTTGTGATATAGTAATTGGAAGAGGGAACTCTGAGTCCTTCAAGGACAAAAAGACAATACAGCTTCTCTGTTGAAGATATTAGTTTCTTTTGTCTCTCATACGCCCTTTTCAGACATGAATTCCAGAAAATGTCCGGAACATTAGGTCCTATTCTGCTACAGAGATCATGTGTTTTTTCGTTTTTAGCATATCAACACCAGTGTCGACCCTTATCGTCAAGTCCTTGAATTTTGTTGTCTTAAGTTGACATCCTTGCTGACGTCTTCTACATGTACAGCACCTCTTTTTCATTCTGAGATATTTGTATTCTTCTAATTTTGTACCATATGTTAAAAATGTTGTCAATAATGCTCACTCATTCGCTGTGAATTTCACTGCTGTATTCTCATGTGAGCTAACTCTGACATTTTCTGGTCATTTTAATAAGGGACTGGCAAACAGGGACCGGAAAACATCAGGAGCAACTAACATTTGTGCTCAGTGCACGTCTGAACGTGCTCTACACTAAATCAAATGCTTTCCTCATCTCTAACAGTAAAGGGATCTTTCAAGGCTTATCTTAAGAGACTATGTGTTTGACCTTGAAACGTCTCTGTTTATTTATTTAAAAAATGGAAACAACACAATGAATGTCTATTTGTCTCAATGAAGTTAAACTGCCTGCCACTTTTTTTTGTTTGGTTTTCCAGAGTGGTGCTGCAGGTGGATGTGTTCATGCTGCTCTCACACTGATTGTGTTGTTCAGCTGTAATCCACAATGAAACAAATACATAGCTGAAGTAAAATGAAGAGAAAATTACTAGAATAAAATCGTAAATTATCTTGGGACAATGAATAAGCTCCCAGAGTGAAGTCTGAGGCAAAAGTAACGACTAACAAACTTCCAGAATTGAAGTTCATTTGTAAGCTGAGCTGTTCATTATTTCTGGACCAGTGACCATGAATGATTGCCAATAAAAAATCCCTTATTAACTATTATGCCCACTGGAGTTTTCCCCATTTAGCAGTGTTAGTGACTGAATTCAAAATGAGTATGTGAGATTTATTTGTCTCCGTTAGTACAAAACAACAAGTCAAAGTAAATATTTGATATTTGCAACTTGAGTAAACATGAATATTGCATAGCTGAAATGTCATTAAAGATTCCAATGTTGCAGAGTATCCAAATTCCTGTTAGTGCTTGAACTTACTCTGGACTAGAGTTTATGTTTATGTTTTGCTTTGGTGCATTATAATGGCATTATTGCATGAGATTGTACAGGCAACATTACGGGTTTGAGGAGAAACAGCGCTATTCTCTCACCTGTTGCCCAATAGTAGATATCCCAGTCGTTGCTCGGTTCATTTATCAGTCTGTCGTACTGCCGCAGCTGGTTCTCATTCATCGTGTTCAGGTATCGCTTTGCAAATAGGCTGTAAAACAGATGGAAGATTCGATTGAGTCTGAGCCTTTTCTCTGAATGGAAAGTTAAAGATATGGGTAATCATCTGGTTAATTGTCCAACTTATAAACTTTGAGGGGAATAAAGGAAACTTGAAAAGCTAGTTGAGTTAACAACTTTCATAAGCCGCTCAGTACAGTTTAACCACCTGAGCAGAATGCAGTTCTCCAACATGCCCCTCTTGCGGCTCTCATAAAGAAGTCTGCGTTTCTTGATGTCAGTGGTTTCACTTGGGTTCTCCTCCCAAGGCGGCAAAGGGATCTCAATCAGGTCACCCCTGGTGTCATCTGGCGAGTCGCCACGGTAACCACGAGATGATAATAGCCCTGTGACTGCTGGTCTCAATGCTGCTTGGCACATCCCTGTCACCAGCTGACGGCAAACAAAAACACCAGTTTAAATGAACACCAGTGCCTTGTGTTACACAAAATCATCAGAGTCAAACAAGTCACTGCTGAAAACCTCCTGAAAATGCAGAACATACAGTTTCTCTCTTTGTTGTTTCCCCATCACCTGATGGTTTTCTTTAAGATTGTGTCTCAGGTATTTCAAATGAATACATCATTTATGTAACTAGGTGCTTATCTGTACGGGACCTTACATAAAATACACAAGAGTTCCCTTTTATGTTTCAAATATTATACATTTTATAAGATAAAGATGAAGGCTTACAGTTAATGGTAAATAATGCTTTTAAGAACTGTATTTTGCTGTTTTAATTTGATCAATTATCAGTATTATTTTATTTACTGTAACATAACAGTATTTATATTTGCTGAGAAGGGGAATAGTAATTACACATTTTATTTCTTTGTATTTGTCAAAACAAAATCTATTTGGTATTACATTCCCTGACCTTTCTTCCTTCTTCCTGCAAATAAAACCAATATGTACAGGACCTGCCATACAGTTTGCAGACGAATGTTTTTACTGCTACTTTTACTGATATTTCTGTCTTTAAGTTGATTTTGGTTTGAATATTAAACTGCTTAAGTTTTGAATTCATTGACTAAACAATAAAACAGTAGGATTTGCCTCTTCTTCTATGAATGATGTGGTTCAAAGTGTTTTTCCTCTACATTTAAACCTTAAACTCCAGACAGAGAGGAGGTTACATAAACGTCAATCACACGCTGTCCTGTTGTACAACTGTCCTCCAGCAACACACAAAACACAGTCTGCACCTTAACTACACTGAGCTGAACACGAGACATGTCCGACATTAAGATACAGCTGCTTCAACACAATAATATCCCACTAAAACATTGAATCGAGCTTCACCGCTCTGAACAGTCCTCGACGTGTTCGTCACCGCAGCTTCAACACAGGAACCTTCATCAGCAAATGTACAAAGTTAATCAAAGGAAGACTTCGTGACTCACTTTCTTGGCAATGACGGACGACAGCATTTTGAAATCTGAAGAAGGTGAAGCTGCTCCTGGGTCAGACTCACAACACAGGAGTTACACAAGCTGCTCTCAAGTCAAGGGGAAACGCACCGGGGGACGATTTAACGCAGCGCACACAACGCGCCATGTTGATGAGGTAACACTTTAAACCAGAATATACTTGTTAGTTTGTACAATAGTTTATTTATGGGTTGTATAATTTCATTTATCAATTAATACAAAATAAAATTCCAACTAAACGTCATTAATCGAATGGCTTGACAAAGCGGAACCAAATGAAGATTGTTGTTGTCTGCCGGATCAAACGCCCTGACACACTCCGGCGTTCAGAGTAGCAACATTAGCACTAGCTGAGGAAGGAGCGAACATATACTAGCTAGATAGCCCTCGTGGGTGAACTCACACATGAAATACTGTGAATTTACTTTCAAAGCTTTCATTAAACATTATGTATTAACTTGTGTTCGCTTGTCGTACTCTCGGCTTGTCATATCTATCTTTTTTTTAATATATGTTCATGTTTTGCGGGCTCGAGCGCAACGTTAGCTAACGGTAGAAACCAGGCGAAACGTTAGCAGCTAATACCTGAACCCCGGCGGTTCACCTGTTGTCCGCATGCACTCTTATTCAATTTCCAACAGAGTGTTCATGTTGCGATTATTAAGAAAGTTATAAAACATTACTACTATAGAACTCGCTGCTGTGCCTTCGGTTGGATCATTCTAGGCCCACGGGATGGCTGCTCCTGCGGCTGCAGCCGGACCAAGTACCTCCAAGCGGACAGACATGTACAGTAATGAGCATCGAAACAAAGAGGTGAGACTGATGTTTACATGTGTTACTCGCAGCACAATGGACGGATTCGTGCAGCAACGTTGGATTTAAATGCATCCTTCCACTAGACGCCTGTGTGAATTGTGTTGCAGAGAAGGTTAAGATACATCTGTGTTACCACAGTGGACACAGTTAGAAAGTGTTCAATCATAACTAATCTACAGTCGATGCCTCCCATTGCAAACACTCTCAGGTTCAATGTCACCTCAGCCCGTCCTGTTTAAAGTTGTGCTGCCTTACACTCAGTTGTCAGTTTGTTAGGAACACTCAGCTAAAACTAATGCTGTGCAAGAACAACAACCTCTTTTATTGAGGTTATCATGATGAGTTCTTGTTACGTCATTATCAATATGGAAGCTGCAATTCATGGTGCGATTGAACTGCATCATACAAAGAGATGTCTGATGTTACTTTCACCCTCATTGAATTTGAATGGTGTGGACGGAATAATAGGAACACCTGTTCAGCATAACATTATGGTTCAACAGCATCACAAACCGCTGCCACTGAAATGATCATATAGTTGCATCAGCACCTCTTCAACACATTTCCAACCAGGGCTCTGCAAAATAAAGATATCATCTCATATATATGATTGCTGTATATTTTAAAAACGGTCTTTAACTTCTTCATCTTGGTGCAATTTTTAGCCATATCACCCAGCCTTAACTGAACCGTGTTCCTAAACCATTAACTTGGTATTTTTTACATTGTATAGTCATTTTTCAGTATTTCAGTCCATAGAGTTAAGTCTGCTGAGAGAATTGTTACTTCTATTAGTTTGCATAACATATATTTGTGGTCACTGTCATTAACACTACTCTATCTGAAATCAAAAAGACACTATATTTACTGGATAATGTCAGTATTCCTTTTCTTTCACTTTATGGTCTTCCAAAATTTCTGTGGTAGATGCCAGTCCCAGAAAATATAGGAATTATCAAGTCAGTCCACACTTCTTTGAGCTGAAACCTAGGATTTGTATTTCTTCTGGTTGCAGTTTGTTTATCAGTGCTCTGCACATTGAGATACACTGTATAACAGCATGTTGACTTTGTCATTATTTTTTCTTCCGTATAGGATTTGGACAGAATTGCTGAAGCAAATGAACTCTATGATGCTGTACTGACTGGCTCAGTGGATCAGTACCAGAACGTCACTAAAAGTGTTGCATCTGAGGAGAATTCAGCTAAAGAGGAGGCACAATTAACAGAAGGACAAACTCAGAAAGGAGGGAATTCAGAGAAGAGACTGTCATTATATTTTGGAAATTTCCCCTGGGTGAGTAAATGTCACTCTACTGTTGGTTACATGTTTATGGTATTGTACTATGTTTGTTGTTTTGTCAACATGGGCTTCCAGAACATTGTCGACATGAAACAGACCATGGACTTAAAATAAGCAGTAGCTAGACGCAACTATGAAAATATAAACAAACAGAATGACAAATATTAAGGCCTGTGCAACACCTTGGTACAAGAAAATTCTCATTAATTTATTGATAAAGTGATGTTTTTTATTTGGTGTTGCTACAGCTATGATTTTTGCCTAAGCTCAGTACAGTATGACTCATTCCCTGTAAGTCAGCTCAATTTCTGTTTCTGCAACTAACACACGTGATTCCCTTCCCTCCTGTCATTTTCTCTTCCCCTACTTGCAGTGGACATCTGACAAAGACATCACAGGATTGGCCCAAAACTTGGGTGTGAGGGACATCAGAGAGATCAAATTTGCTGAGAACAGAGTTAATGGCCAGTCAAGAGGGTGAGCTGTTACCAATCGTGTGTGTGTGTGTGTTATTTTGTGTGTGTGTGTGCGCGCTTGCGCGTGTCATCTTCTGTGGTGGAGCCATTCATGTATTATTTCTTCTACTCTGTAATGCAGCTATGCAGAGGTGGTGGTGACCTCAGAAGAGTCATTCAAAATATTGTTGGAAAAAATACCGCAATGTAAACTGAATGGGGAAAAGCTTGACTGTCGCTTTGCCACTCGACAGAACCTCACTGTGTTTGAGGACATAGCAAATAAACGTAAGAGCACCGCAATCTGAAGAAAATACTTTGTAACTTAAATTGCAAAATGCTACAATGTTGGCTATAACAATGTGTTCTCAACAGGTATGCCCCTTCGCGTGAATTCCAAAGATTCCAAGGACGATGCTTCAGAAAAGATTCCTTCATTATTATCACAGGAGCCCATCCCTCCCCCTATACCTCCACTTTTTCGACCACATTCGCATCCACACGTGTTTCCCTCATTACCCAGCCCTTTCCTCGGTCACCCTCATCCTCATCCTCATCCTCACTTCCCACATATGCTTCCAAACGTCCCACCACCCATGCCACCCCCTTTATTCCCTCCTCATCCACCCCACATTCATAGCCAACCACCTCCTAGTCTACATTTAAATCCAGCTTTCTTCCCCCCGGGACAAGACGGGCACAGCAGCAAAGCTTACAGCCAACAAAAGTGAGAAAACATTCTATATTTAATGTTAAGCTATTACTAACAGTAAATTAAAAGTTTAACATTATTATTGTGGACAGTGGATCGTTTAAGCAGCAAAAGACCAGGATCCAGAGACAAATACAAGAGAATATGTGCATATAATAAAACACAGCAAATATAATACAGCAAATAAAGATTCAGATTGTAATAGAATTTCTGAAAATACATAATTATTTTAGTGTTGACTTGTTTGTGGTTAAATAATTCTGTTAGTCAGTATGAAAACAATCTGTTCGTTTTTCAGACAGACACCTCAAAGTACAGATGGAGATTTTGAGGAGCTGATGAACAGAAATAGAGCCGTTGCCAGCAGTGCCATCTCCAAGGCTGTGTCTGGAGCAACAGCTGGTAAGCACAGCAGTGGATTCTGTCAAGTGGAAGACTGAACACAGAACTTAATATGCCATGTTGGGAGAGGACAGGTCCTTACTTATGGCTGGCTGCCATATGGGGGATAAATTGAGTTTTATGCTTAGTCCCACTGACATGTATTAATGTAGCATAATATGCAAATCATACCATTTCACAACAGGAATTATAGTAATTAGTTGATGAATAGTGATGGTTTTCAGACAGATATAGAACATTAATGGGTTAATTAATAGAGCTGGCAATCAGCTACACATGCTCACAAGCTTGTTTAATTAATTTTCAGTAAACTCCAGGTACATGCCTTTTATTCTTGGTGGTTCCATCTGGCCACTATTCCGTCAGGACCTGACTGAGGAGATGTAGCAGAGATGATTTTACATGAACCACCAACATTCAATGCTGTGTGAACATGCCTTTCTTTGATCTGTGGTCCACAGAGTTGCTGGGACAACATTTAGATTTGTTAATTCTATAAATACATTGAAATGCTGATCAAAAGAAACATGATTTTTATCATGACTTTAACTGGTATGGAAGCATATGCAAATTAAGATTTTCTGTTTAAAATATGAAGTTCAAATAGTAGCTTGCGATACCTTTCTGGATGTTGGTGTTGGAGGTAATGTTTTTCATCTGTGTTTAGACTCTGGTGTTACTTCATTGCTGGATGTGTTCATGTCTGAAAATCAATTTTGCTATTAACTATGTAATTCAGCATATGATAGTTGTATAATTGGAGTGAAACTAATTTAATTGTCAACATTTTGCTGGACTAAGGTGAATCACAACCAACTTATATTAATTCCCAATCTTTTTGTAGCTTACGTCCAAATGGAAGTGAGTGCTTGAATTTTCTTTTTGTCATAACAGCACTTACATGTGCAGGTAAATGTCATCCAAATTTAGTTTTTAACATAAACCTAGCAGCCTTGAATCGCTTAACTACTTACAAGGTAATGTCTCTAATATCTAATCTCTTTTTATTGCTGATGCAGGAGACCTGCGGGTAGCAATGGAGACTCTGTTGACTGCCATTGCCATCATTAAGCAGTCCAGAGTGTATGGAGATGAACGCTGTCAAGCCCTGGTCACCTCACTCAAAGACTGTCTAGTCTCTATCCAGGGCAACTGTGGCTACAGGTTTGTAGAATTGTGTGTCTAGACGCTCAGACACGATGTATTGTGTTGCTTATGTAGAAGCTGAGGATGGAGCTTTACATCATAAGCTTTCCTACCAGTTCAGATCACACAAACACACATTTCTGTGCAGGAGCAGCAGTCGTTCGGGGGACAAAGGAAGAGACCGCGACCGGGGTCGTGACAGGGAGCGAGAGCGTGATAGAGTACGGGACCAAGAAGATTCCTCTGGCTGGGAAAGTGCGGGAATGTCTCGAAGACACAGAGAACGTTCCTGGAGTGGAGAGAAAGACAAGGAGCGCTCGCGGGAACGGGAAAGGCACAGAGATCATAGAGACCGAGACAGAGATCGATACCGCTGACTCGGTAAACTTCTATCTATATTATATACTTACTTAATTCACACACTTCATCTTTCATCCAATAGCCTTTCATTTTTTTAATTCTTTGTATTTTGTCTGTTCTGTGGTTAGGTGAAGAGTTTAAAATCACAGACATATACACTGGTGTTATTTGATATCTCATACAGCATCGTTTACCTTGCTTGCTTGGTGATCCCAATAATTACAAATTCTTATTATAAAATATATAAATCACCATCATATAGGAACTCATGTCATTATATAACTCATTATGTTACAATGAATAGTTCTAAAATGGATATAACTTTATACCATACGTAATTATTGTGGAGTTTTTTAAGACTGATCTGTGTAAAAAGCATTTTAGTTCATGCCAAGTTCATTAGCTCTGCATGAAAACCCCAGATTGTGTTCAGTAGTTAATCACTAATTCTCTAGTTCTAAGGTCTATTAACACACCATCTCAGAACGCCTTCCAGTACAATCTGTATTTGATTTGTCTAATTGTGGATTTATAGTTTGTTTCTTCTCTTCCCAGACATGTCATAAAGCAGAGCGAAGACAGGACTTTTTGTTTCTGCGTCAAGCTGTATAAAATTCTGGAGGACTCTAAGGTGAGACTGAAGATGAATCTCCAAGAAGTTATATACTTTTTGTGTTCTTCAGTCATCTGTACAGACTAGAACTTTTTCTTGTTTTAAGAACAAATGTAATAGGTTTAGGGTTATGTAGATTTGTTGCTGGGACATCAGTCAAACACTTGCATGCATAAGAACATCATAGTAACTTATGTAATATACAGTTAACATGTTCATCTTTCTTTTGTAATAAATCTGCAAATTAAATAACATTTCCTGAAAATATAATTTTGTGCTTGATTTCTGCATGCATTTATTTATTCTGCTTACTGAAGACCACACAATGCTGATACCATTAAAATGGTATTTGAACTTGAAGCAGCACCTAAGTTACTCTATATTTTCTTGCTATTGGTCGAGACAGTGCACTGCAAAACAATGTTCGATTCATCAAATGTTCCAAATTTCTGATAATGGGTGAATATAGATGGACTGTTCTAAATCAATGTCAGTAATAAAGGTAACAAGGTCATTTAATAGCTTTATTTAGAAAAACATTCTGAATCTAATGGGTACACAAATAAACATTTCAAACGTCTTCACTGTGATCTCCATTTGCTGTCACAGCAAATAATAACATGACTCTGTCCATGTCACAGCCCCACAAAGTCCCTGCAGTTCGTGGAGGTAGCCAGTAGCAATCACTTCTCCAGTGGAGCATAATTCAATAACTTCTCAATAAGATCCACGTGAGAAAGGAGCATCCTCCGACAGCAGTATCTCTTCAGGCCCAGGGCATCAAGGGCATCACTTAAAAGAGAGAGAGGAGGTAAAGTCGGATCCTAATGCACACAGAGCACTGAATGAATAAGTAAAGGACATGGACTTTACTGCAGACAATAGTGAGGATAAATAAGCCTAAATGGCCTCCGGTAACTGCCATTATTCATTCCATCATTGCATCCTGCTTTTTATTGAACACAGAACATAACCTGGGAGTAGGCTAAAAGGGTTTTGATGTGTATTGTATTTCAATTTTACTTTTTACATTTTGACACAGCTGCTCTGAAAGACAAACATAAATGATCTTGGATTTGATTTGTCAATTCAAAAGACGTCAGGAACTTGTAGTAATGTTGAGGTGTGTGGTGCACTGACACAAACCAGCAGGTATTAACTCACCCCTCAGTGTACTCTGCTTGGAGTAGGCCGAGGTATGCCTCCCACTTGTTACCCACGATTTTCCCGCACGTGAAGCACCGGATAGGGATGATCATTGTCGGACACCTGGAAACAGACAGACAGACATACTGTACACACGAGAGAGACACAACTGCCTGACAAAGATCGATTATTTGATTCACAGAACCATTTATTTTCTAATGAGTTGGGAAACATGACTTTCTTTGAGTCGTCTGGAGACACTAATGGTTTAGAAGGGACGAATAAAACCGGTTAACTCCAGGGTTTTACTGGATTGTACTGAAGAGACTTTGCATCGATCGGTTTGTGCTTCCGTTGAAAATCTTAATGAAAACAACAATAATATTCTACATTATGTGGTTGAAGCTCTGCCACAGACTTTAGCCACGCGATTAGCATGTTAGCACAACAACTGTTAGCTAACATCGGACGCTGGAGCCATGCTAACACGAGTTGACTTATTGTTGGTTATTTACCGGTCAAAACACAAAGTCTAAAACCAAGTCGGGTTCTGTGAACTCACCGTCAGCAGTCAACTTAAGCAAAAGCTTAAATAATAAGTTATAGAGCAAAAACAAGCTACGAGAAAGTGATGGCGGCTCCTCCACACTGCTCCTGCTGCAATAACAATGACTTCCGCCAATCCTTCAAAATAAAGGCATAACTTCCACAACTAACCGCTCATGACACAGCCTCCCCTCACTGATACAGTAAATGAGAATGTGAGTGTTTGAACCATATTGCAGTACAACACAATACGTGACAGCAGCACAACACACCTCAAACCCGTATTAAGTTAGGATTCTGTTGCAGGGCTGTTGTATTTGACTGCATTAGTTTTAGCTGGGTGTACCTAATAAACTGGCAACTGAGAGTACATTTAGCTCTAAATGTATTTGCCAAAAGCTGCAGATGTGTTGTGACTGTGTCAAAGCTACAGATGCCCCCAAACCAACTGCTCTGCAATGCTCTATTTATTGATATACACAGTTTCCACTTGTATAGGGGGCAAATCAGCCAATTTATTTGTATAGCCCATATTTACAAATCACAATTTGTCTCATAGACAGGATTAAAGACATATTCTGACTACTGCAAGATACTTTACTGTTGAAGAAAAAATGTTGTTAAAACATAATTAAATACTCTATTCACACCCTGGGTATAGGTGTTGTTGTTTTATTATGTTTTTATGTAATTATGTTGTTTCAGCATTCATGAACATGAATGTTTTTATTTGAAAGTGGGTGTATGATTATGCATATTTCTTTATCTGTTAGGAAATGCAAAGTCTGTATTGCCAAAGAAAGCCTGGAGTTTTGAAGATGCTCTTTTTTGTTCATGTACTGTAAAGCTTAGAATCTTCAATGGGAAATCCTACAGTGAAATTTGAAACTGAAATCAAAATCAGCAAATCTAAAGGTTTTAAATATTGTAATTTAGCAGCAGTAAAATGAGACTGCTCTGTATATTCCAATATGTGAAATCTAGATTAGATAAACCACAGAATACAGAGATTATAGAATCTTTAAGATGAAATTGAAAGAACTCAAATGAATAACGAAATGACAACCAGATCACAGAACACTTGTTATTGAGGAAACATTCACTTTGGCTGGTTCACTGCCTTTAATAAAGTTTGGATTACAGCCTCTCTCTTTTTTTACATCAGAGGTTTGGGGGCAGGGGGCGGGGGTGCAAAGGGAAAATATTAGAAATATATCAAAAATATAACATAACCATCATTATCATCATTACCATCATCAACAACATCACCATCATTACCATTGGCAGCATCATACATCATAATCACCTACAATATTATACATCATCATTGAACTTGCTACAGCACAGGTGCTAAATGATGAGTCCTATCTGAATTATTGCATTTATACGCTGTTGAATTTATGAAAATAGGGTTTTTCTTTTTTTTGGTACACTGTATTGTACAATGTAAGGTGAAGTTTGTTTTGGTGTTGGCATACTATCTTTTGGATGTGTCTGGGGTGTTGATTGTGGTGAATGCAGCATGTTTCTATAATATATGTGGTCCCCTTACAACTAAAATCAGGTAATGATGTGTGGTAGAACTGTCTTGTGACTACCTACTTATGCAGCAGGAACATCCCCATGAACTTTACATGTGAGTGGACAAGTGTTTACAGATGTGCAGGCGAGTATTTTCTTTTGAGTAGACTATACAACATCTACACTTCATTATTATTATTAAAGATGTATGATATGTTAATCTTGTGATAGCTGTACCTTGTTATTAATGAGGTTTTGAAATCAAGATTATTTTCCTAAAGCCACACAAGGGGAGAACAGTGAAAACAGAAACAACTCCCATGTTGGCAGCAGGTTTAAAACCTGATACCTCAACACGAATGGCTGCTACAGCTAAGTATCTACTGTGAAATGTTAACAGATTGAACCAGCACAACTGTGGCTATTGTGTAAGACATACAAGGTTATTGATTTCAGACATTACACTAAACTCAAACTCTTTCTTATTCTACAGCAAGACTAACTCCACCATTCTTCTGTGCCACATACTGCACTTGTTTTATCTTCAACAACTCTATCAACTCTATATCCACTCCTTATACCACTGCATGCTTATACAAGAACGTTATTTCTTTAGATTGCAGTGGGCCATTCTCTATTTGTAATTTTTTGGGGATATGCAGGAACATTTTCTTTCTCCAAGTATTCTGAAGAAAGAGTCAGGCACTGATTTAGCCTCAATATGTGCAAATTATCACAATGGATATTCCCAGCTGTTTTCAGGGTTTGTTTTTTCTCTCTGTCTCTCCTCGAACTCTGATAATCACAATTAATATCTACAAGTTTCAACAGCTTTTCATGATCTTTTAGCAAAGTTAACCAAGCTCATTTCCGGAGCAAGAATGTTCAAATATTGCACGATTATATCAATATTTGTCCAAACAGGATTAAACAAGATAAAGCAGTTGCATAAGCTACATGATTTGGTTCTTAAGCCCAGTACAGTGTGATTTATATTCTTAAGAAATTAATAATTACAGTTCAGATGCAGATTTGTAGCAATGTCATGCATATGCTATTTGAAACTATACAGCCTTGTTTAAACTGGAATTGTTCGATTTACTACGATTGAAAGCAGGCCGAGTAAGGAAAAAAAAAGTAATTTGCACAGTGGCTCCCCATCCCCCATATGTACCAAGTACCACGTAGTCTGTGAACCATCAGTAACACTAATTCCTCCTCGTCAGTAGCAGTGCTCCCAGCAAGATGGCTCCTGCAGCAATGATGGCACCACCAATAAGAAACGGTTTCAGGTGTTCCAGAGTGTCTGTGCCGGAGGCCGCACCCTCATCACCTGCTGCTGCAGCGTCAGCTTCTGGTGCTCCATCCTGAGCAGGAGGAAGCTCGGGCTCAGGGGCTGCGGGTGCAGGGTCAGCCTTGCGAGCTGGTGCCGGCTCCTTCTTCTCAGCTTTAGACGCTGCCTTGGGCGCCGGAGCCCCGGACTTGGCCTTGGCTTCCATGGACTTGGGGAAAGAGGTAGGGTCTGGTCTGAAGGAGTCTTTATATAAGGTCGGCTCTGTGCTGCTTCACTGAGGAAAAAACGCAAACAGACGCTGACAGATTATCCATCTAAATTAAGCCCAGACATCATGTTATATGCTCCATTAGGTGTAAAGACACTTGACATGTGAGAGAGCCCTGAATATCCATGTATTCACTGTACAGCGGTGAAGCCTTCATGTGGCAGTTGGGCCTTAAATGTGACCTTGGAAAAAGATGACATTGATGGGAACATTCCGACGCTCAGAAGGACAGCGAATTGTTTATTTTGGTCACAGCTGCTGTGACATAATCTTCCCCTGAATACTTAATGTTATAGCAGCTTCCTGTGTAAATCATTTCAAGAGACAATCTTTTAGTTTTGTAATAAAGGAATGGACAGTGGTGCTCTCACTGCATGCAGAGCCAATTCACAGTCTCGGAATGAATCTCTATTTCTGTGACCCTGACAAGAATCTAATCCAGATGCAGTAACAGAAAGATTGAATCGCCTCGCCTGTCTTGATCTGTGCTCT